TGGACGTCTTACTGTCTCGCCGGTGATAGGTAGCGATCATCCACCGGAGTTGCTTAATATACCCGAGTCGGCCGTCGGTCGGGAGTAATCGGGTACTGGTCGGCCGAACTCGGGTCGGGGTAGTTCCGGGGGATGCTCTCGCCGGAATATTCGCGATAATTCGCCGAACGCGCTCGATTATTCCGCGAAGATGTTCGGTGGCGCGGTCGGCAGCGGGACCGGCGGCGGTGGCCTAACCGGTGCGTGTTTATTCACGCTCTGCGCACGTGAAGCCGTGTGATCTCAGTTTTGCTTCGTCTGATGTTCGACGTGATTTTACGACGGTGGGATCGCGGAAGGATCGCCGTGTCGATGCCCCGACGGTTGATCGGTTGGGAACTTTTAATATTATTTTAAACAATGAGGGAGGTGAGTCGGGTGTCGTTACACATTGAAACCGAAACACGATTTTCTCCTTCATTATACACGCGTTATGAAATCTTCAGATCCATTAATAAATATTTGGTGTATGCGATATGAAGCAAAACACAGACAATCAAAGATTGCTGTTCATATTTCTTCTTCCACGAAATTTGCCATTAATTTTGGCAATTAAACATCAGTTAAAATTTTGCTACAAACTTTTTCAAAACATTGATATAAAAAGACGTATATCGTTCCGAAAGGAATTTTCAATGCAACAAATATCAAAACTTCCTAATTATCATAATTTTAAAATATTTTTTTCAAGCGTAACATTTGCTATAACATGGATAAATATAAAGGGCATTCTTTATAAGCCAGGTTTTATTTTAAATATTTTTTGTGAAGAAATATTTCCACTTTTTGAAAAAATTGAGTTGATATTTGTTGATAAAGATAAAAATATATTTTTTATTGTGCAATATATGGACTATTCGTGCAATATATGGACTATTTTGCACTATTCGATTTTCACATGTACAAAACTGTCATCATCATGTACGAAGCTATGAAGTAAAATATTCAAATGGATATAAAATATTCAATTGGAAATGTGTATCATACAACAGTTTATACAATATTTTACCTTATTACATAGTATTATATCAACTTCCAACATTTTATATGTAATTTAAAAAAAATAAAATATGTTTACATAATAAAATATTACGAGGGTAGTCTGAAAAGTTTTGAGCCTGAAGATGACGTTACTCAAAAACCATTCTAGTACTACAATAGTATATGCTTTGAAAGACTTTTGTGAAAATTTCAGCCATTTTGGATGCTCAGTTGTTGTTTGACAGTCGTTTGTGTCAGTCGATGTCAGTGTTTTTGTAAAAAAGAAAAAATTGAATATCGTGCCGTGATTAAATTCT